TGTGTGTGTGTGTGTGTGTGTGTGTGTGTGTGTGTGTGTGTTTAAGAGACGTTAGGAAGAAGGGAGAGCTTGAGAGAAAGAATGAGTTCCATTTTGGACATGTTAAGTTTAAAACGCCTATGAGCTGTCCAATGGACAACTGGATATAGGAAACTGGAGGTTAGGGCTGGATAACTTTATCTTTTATTTTCCCTACAGTTACTCCCGGGGGCTCCTTCCTGCCAATCCTCTGGGGCCTGTGGGTGGGCGTTAACCCGACCCCACTGTTGAGCTGGGAGCTGACTCAGAAGACTCGGGCTGGGGCTGCATTCCCTTCCCCTGAGGGGGGAGGTGGTGAGAGAAGCTGAGCTGAACTCCCTGGGTACAGGACGGGTGAAGACTTGTCTGAGTGAAACCGGGACAGCGCCTCCAGCATCTTACCTTTCCCCCTCCCCTTTCTTCCCTTCCTCCTCCGCCCCCCCCCCCCGCCTTTCCTAATCTCTTTCCCCCCCCAAACCCAAGCCTCTCCTGGCTCACCTTCCCCAGGCTCTGTTGAGCCGTGCGCTCCTATGGCTTCTCTCCCCATTGGTTGGCCAAGCCCTGGGAGGGATTTCCAGGGATGGCCCTGGACCCAGAGTTGGGTCCTGGCTTTAACCAGGGCCATGCCCCAGAGCTGCCCAGAACAGGAGGGAGGAAAGGGGCGGTGGAAACACTGGCTGGAGAGTGCCATCTTAGCAAGGGATGGAAATTGGAGGGAAGGGGGACGCAGGTGTCAGGATAGTTTAAGAAGGAGAGGGGCGGAAAAAGAGAGAGGAGTGGTGAACAGATACTCCAGCATAGAAGATGATAAGGGATTTCAGGGATGGGGGACATGCCTGGGATAGGAAGGTGAGTAAAGATAGGGGAGTGAAAGATGCCAGTGAGGTGTTGAGAATTGAGCTGAAGGGGCATGAGAAGAGAGATGTGTCCTGGTGGAGGGGGTGGGGGGAAAGGTGGGGAAGGAGAGGGCATTTTGGATGGGGGAATGGTGTAAAAGAGGGGCACCTAGGGTAAGGAGAAGGGGTGGCAGTGCAGGCGCTGGCCTGCGGCAAGTGATAGGGCAGAGCATAGGGATGGGAGTTGGGGCTGGACGTGACCACTCGCTTGCCTCCTTTTGTGACTCGCCCTGCAGAGTTAATAACCCTACTCGAATCGGGAGCTTTTTCACCGAGGGCACCCCCCCACCCCCCCAACCCCCTCCCCTTCCTCTTCTGCTTCAGACCTAGAATATCTCATCCTGGCTCCTTCAGATCTGGAGTGTCTAATCCCTTCATATGAACTGTCTCACTTATCATCTCTCCATCCCCCTCCCTTCATTCAAACTTGGGGTGTCCAATCCATCTCGGATTTCAGCTCACATCTCCCCTCCCAGGCCCCTGTGGTTATCCTCTTTTCTTCCCACCTGCCTGGGGTGTCCAACCCCATACCCAAAGCTGAGCTGGCCCAGAAATAACTTCCCCCCAACTTCCCATGGTGCCTTCTGGCCCCCCCCCATACTTGGAGCACTTCATTGCCATCTTAGATCTTGGGTGTTCATCTCAGGTTGGTGGGGTCTCATGCCCTGTCAAATCTTATCTGTCTCACACCTCTCCCTCCTTTGTCCTCAGAACTCAGACGTCTCATCTGCACCTTATCTTCACACCTAAAGCATTTCCTTCTCATCCCCTTAGATCTTGAGGGTCCAGCTCCGCCAGTATGGGGTGTCTAAATTCGCCCTCTCACCTGAGTGGTCTCACTTCTTGCCTCTCCCTCCTCCTCTCTTCACATCTGTGGCTTCTCACCTCACCTCTCCTCAGATCTGGCTTGACTCCCATTTCTTCTCATCACTGCCCCCAGTTTCTCCTCTTCACCCCCAGATTTGGCTTCCTTAGGTCCAACTTTCCTCCCACTCCAACACCAGGGCTGTCTCTTCTGCACCCTCATCACAGGCCCCCGGGTAGAGGAAGGAGTCCTCCGAAATTCTCAGCTACCGTTTGAATTCTCCTGGGGATTCAGGGTTAGTCCCTGACCTTGGAGTCTGTTGCTAGGACACAACCATGCCCCACCCCACCCCTCAACCCCACCTGACTCTGAGGTAATCTACCCCAAATCCCTTCCGGCTGCTCCCCGAGATGGGTCAGCTCCGCTGGGGGTGAGGGCCAGGTAATACTCGCCTCCAGAACCAGAAGGAAGCCAGGTCTCAGAACCAACACCCTCCCCCCACCCCCACCATGTGAGCCTCCCCACTCCCTCCTCCGACACAGATGGCAAAAAGACAAAAGGAGTGTCAGGGAAGCTTTCTTTATTGAGAGGGAACTTTGTCACACACTCAGACAGACATGCTCTCTGACAGTCGAAGACACACACACTCACTCAATCGCCAGCGCGCGAGCACACGCTATCATCCAAATACATTCACGCACTCCTCCTTCCTTCAACACACTCACACAGCCTCTGTGCCCCACCCCAGTCCAATCCCTCTCAAGCCCCTAAGGGCCTGGCACTTCCCCATCCCTAAGAACCCCAGGGGACAGGGCAGGAGATGGAGAGGGAGAGCACCAGGGGGCGGCCCACCCGGGCCAGGGAGGGAATGCAGCTCAGAGAATCAGGGATCGTGGGACAATCGTGGGGGCTCCTGCCACCAACGTCCCTGGTAGCCTGGGCCTAGAAGGAAAGACTCCCAGAGCTCCCTGCCCAGCTGCCCTCGGTTTCGTGTCTGAGTCGATCCCGAGCTGGGGCGCGCGGTGGGGTGGGGGTGGGGGTTTAAGGGACTGAGAAGGGAAGACGGCAGGGTTCAGGGAGGGAGAGGGATCGGGGGCCCGCCCCACACACGTCCTCTCCCCCGGGGGGGGCCAGGCCGGGGCGGGGGACGGGGAACGGAAGGGGCCGTCGGGGCGCCAAGGAGCGGGGCTCAGCTCTGGGGCTGCTCCTCGGGGGGCGGCGCCTCGCCGCCTTCCTCCCCGGCGCTGTCCGCCGTCCAGAGGGTCAGGTTGTCTCGCAGCAGCTGCATGATGAGGGTGCTGTCCTTGTAGGAGTCCTCGCTCAGGGTGTGGAGGTCGGCCATTGCCTCGTCGAAGGTGGTCTTGGCCAGAGAGATGGCCTCCTCGGGACTGTTGGCGATCTCGTAGTGGAAGACGGAAAAGTTCAGCGCCAGGCCCAGGCGGATAGGGTTGGTGGGCAGCATGTCCTTCTTGCTGATGTCCATGGCCTCCTGGTAGGCGGCGCGGGCCGAGTCGATGGTGCGCTTCTTGTCGTCACCCGTGGCCACCTCGGCCAGGTAGCGGAAATAGTCGCCCTTCATCTTCAGGTAGAAGACGCGGCTCTCGGCGTCGCCCGCGTGCTTGATGAGGTGCGAGTCGAGCAGACCCAGCACGGTGCCGCAGACGGCGCGCAGCTCGCCCTCCACCTTCTCCCGGTACTCGCGCACCGCGGGGCCCCGCTCCTTCTCGTCGGCGCTCTCCTCCTCGGCGCCCTTCTGCTCGATACTGGACAGCACCCTCCAGGCCCCGCGCTGGCAGCCCACCACGTTCTTGTAGGCCACCGAGAGCAGGTTGCGCTCCTCGCACGACAGCTCGTCACCTTTCTCCACGGCGCCCTTCATGAATTCGGTCATGTCCTCATAGCGCTCGGCCTGCTCCGCCAGTTTGGCCTTCTGGATCAGGCTGCCTCTCTCCATGGCTCGGGCTGGGGCTGGGGTCGGGGCTGTGCTGAATCCCTGGGCACCTGGGCTCTGCCTCTGCTCAGCCTCTCCCTCTCAGCCCGGCTTTTTGGCTGGGGTGGAGAGGGGCAGGGCTGGGCAGGAGGCGGGGCTG